AGAAAAAAAACCGTCAAGAACCTGAGGACTATTTATTTCTATAGGAAAAAAAATCGAAAAAAGTGGGAGCTATATCTAAATCGGAACCGATTTTCACGAAACTTAGCGCACATCATTCCAGACTTAATTCAGTACGCCATGCCAAATTTCCTACAAATCGAAAGATATATAGGGTCTTTGTTGCACCATTTACATAAAATCGGACGATAATATATATGGGAGCTATATCTAAATCTGAACCGATTTCCTCGAAACTTAACACACACCATTCTAGACTTAATTCAGAAGGCTTTGCCAAATTTCCTGCAAATCGAAAGATATATAGGGTCTTTGTTGCACCATTTACATAAAATCGGACGAAAATATATATGAGAGCTATATCTAAATCTGAACCGATTTTCACGAAACTTTGCACGCATCATTCCAGACTTCATTCAGTACGCTATGCCAAATTTCGTACGAATTGAATGATTTTCAGAGACTTTGGTGCACCATTTACCTAAAATCGGATGATAATATATATGGGAGCTATATCTAAATCGGAACCGATTTTCACGAAACTTAACACACATCATTCCAGACTTAATTCAGTACGCTGTGCCAAATTTCGTACAAATCGAAAGATATATAGCGCCTTTGGTGCACCATTTACATTACATCGGACGAAAATATATATAGGAGCTATATCTAAATCTGAACCGATTTTCATGAAACTTAGCACACATCATTTTAGACTTAATTCAGTACCCTATGCCAAATTTCGTGCAAATCGAAGGATATAAAGAGACTTTGTTGCACCATTTACCTAAAATCGGACGATAATATATATGGGAGCTATATCTAAATCGGAACCGATTTTCACGAAACTTAGCACACATCATTCCAGACTTAATTCAGTAGGCTATGCCAAATTTCGTGCAAATCGAGAGATATATAGGGATATTAGAGCATCATTTAAATTAAATCGGACGAAAATATATATGGGAGCTACATCTGAATCTGAACCGATTTTCACGAAACTTGGTACACATCATTCTAGACTTAATTCAGTACGCTATGCCAAATTTCGTGCAAATCGAAAGATATATAGGGACTTTAGTGCACAATTTACCTTAAATCCGACGATAATATATATGGGAGGTATATCAAAATTTGAACCGATTTTCACGAAACTTAGCACACATCATTCCAGACTTAATTCAGTAATCTATGCCACATTTCGCGCAAATCGAAAGATATATAGGGACTTTGGTGCACCATTTACCTTAAATCGGACGATAATATATATGGGAGCTATATCTAAATCTGAACCGATTTTTTCGCAATTTCAATAGGGTTCGTCCTTGGGCCAAAGTGAACCTCAGCACTATTTATTTATTTTTTTTTCTATAGAAAAACAATATTTTTGTAATTTTTGTTTGTAAATAAAAATCAGCTGATTGTTTATTTACATTCCTCGAACCAGCTGATTGTTGTTTGTTTTTTTCTCATTTTTGTTTTTTGCACTTTTTTGTTGTAGTTTTTTTTTTTTTTGTTTTGAATATTCTCCACCAAACCGAACCAACCTCCTCTTTGTCTCAGTACCGAATATGGATAACTACCACCAAGTATATATAGTTCCAAACAGGGCTGATGATTATGGTCGTGCTTAAGAGTCTCTGGCCTGGAGACACTTGAATTATAACTCTTCATCCACCACCAAGCATGTGAATGCATATGAGGGAAGCCCTGGCTGGCTGGCTCACTCAATGTGTCGTCATCATCCACCAAACAGAACACAACAAATTTCTCTGATTACGATTTCCAAAGGCAGGTTGCTCCAAAGCAACCACCACCAAATGCGGCAGTAGAGCCACTCAGTTCAGCTCAGCAGCTAGTGGTGCTACCGATTGTTGGTGGGGTTGTTGTTGTTGTTGGCCAGTCAGTCATCCAGTAATGGCATGTGCGATGCGGTAAGGTAATGCCATTTTTGCGGGGGAGTATTGCTGGGGTTTTGTAGGGTTGCTCTTGACATCTTGGTGGTGGTTCCTGCTGCCGGCTCATTTATCGAAACAGAGTGCCTACTACCCCGAGTGTCACCACACACATCCGCCGCCATAACAAAAAGGGGTGGAAAAGTAACACGCATGTTTTCTAGGTGCAAGGACGTCTGGCGACCTTGAGCCACTTGTTTTTTGTTGTTGCTGTTTCCACCAGCCTAGACTCAGGATTTTTCCAACCACCACCACCAGCAGCATTGTGACCAAGGTGAAAGGGCCACCAAGTGCCGGCCGGCACTTCCTTGGCTCAATGCAACCACTTTTTTGCTCCAAAACAAAACAAAAGTGGAGAAATAAAAAAAGTCAACCATGACCCAGTCCCCCCGAATTTGTTATTTTCCGCATAAGGAAGGAGGAGCTGCTCCTACACCTTCTCTGGAAATCATTCATAAAGGAAACAGGATAGGAAAAAAAATCATCCACCTTTGACAAAGTGGGTACACATGTGGTGGCTTCCTAGATTTCTATGATGGGAGGAGGTGTATCTTGATTGCCTTTATTTTTTTCCTGATTGGTATATCACTTGACACCTTTTTCTAGGAGGACCTGCCCTACACTTCCTCCTTGGCAGAGGTTTCTTCAGGTGGCTCTTTTTTCTCCAGCTGTTATGGAATTCCAAAATCTTTTCTGTTTCTGTCCTGCAAATTAGCAAATGTCTTAGACGCTCCTTGACACCACCAACCACTATTTCATCGACGTCACCGTCCATCCCGTCATCATCCACACCACCACCGCCTCCTCCCTGTCTGTTTGCCTATTGAAATTTTTCATTCATAAATTCTCCTCGGCAGAATTTCTTAGGGTTAAATTTCATGATTGCGCTCTTCTCTGGGGTTGGTGGTGTTGTTGTCGTCGTCGCTGTTTTTGCCGGTGGCCTAGTCGGATTTTTTTTTTTTGTATTTTGGGGGTATGTTATTGTATTGCTGTTGGTCAGGTCTCGGAGTTGTGGATCAGGTGTTTGACCTTGATAATTTCTAAATTAGGGGTTTGTTGCCCTTTTTGTCGTTGTTGTTGGTGTTGTTTACCTTCTAGAGGGGGTAGATTTTTCGCGATTTTTTTTGAAAAATGAAGCAACAAGTTTTATCTTTTGGGGGGAGCATCGACTCTTTAGGGGAGGTTATAATTGGGAAAGGTATTTTTATCAGCCGGATAGTAGGTGGAAATTGTGATGGATTAAATATCTAGTCGCTCATTGTGTTGTGGTATTTAAAAACAAAAAAAATTGCCACGAACCTAAGGACATTTTTTCCATAGAAGCAAATTCGTTCGGATTCTGTAAAAGAGAAATTTTTTCCACATAAAAAAATAAATCGTCTAAAATCTGAGGAAATTGTCAGGAATTTCTTTTCAAGAAAAAAAATATCTCATTTTTTATAATTTTTTTTTCCATCGAAAAAAATGGTCAGGGACCTGAGTACATTTTCTTCCAAAGAAAAAGAAATCGTTAGGAACCCGTAGGAAAAAAAATTGTCGTGAATCTGGGGACATTTCTATTATCATAGAAGAAAAATAAGAAATTTTTATAGGTACCCTTCACCACACTGTGGTGGTAAAGGGTATTATGTCTTTGTGCATATGTCCGATTTGGATGAAATTTGGTACAAGTCACTTATTTGGCCCAAGGATGAACCCTATTGAAATTGGAAAAAAAATCGGTTCAGATTTAGATATAGCTGTCATATATATTTTCATCCGATTTTATGTAAATGGTGTACCAAAGTCCCTATATATCTCTCGATTAGCACGAAATTTGGCTCAGCGTAATGAATTTGGTCTAGAATGATGTGTGCTAAGTTTCGAGAAAATCGGTTCAGATTTAGATATAGCTCCCATATATATTTTCGTCCGATTTAATGTAAATGGTGCTCCAAAGTCCCTATATATCTTTCGATTTGCACGAAATTTGGCGCAGCATAATGAATTAGGTCTAGAATTATGTGTGCTAAGTTTCGTGAAAATCGGTTCAGATTTAGACATAGCTCCGATATATATTTTCGTCCGATTTTATGTTAAAAGAGCACCAAAGTCCCTTAATATCTTTCGATTTGCACGAAATTTGGCATAGAGCACTGAATTAAGACCAGAATAATGTGTGCTAAGTTTCCTGAAAATCTGTTTAGATTTAGATATAGCTCCCATATATATTTTCGCCCGATTTAAGGTAAATTGTGTACCAAAGTACCTAAATATCTCCCGATTTGCACGAAATTTGGCACATCGTAATGAATTAGGTCTAGAATGATGTGTGCTAAGTTTCATGGAAATCTGTTCAGATTTATATATAGCTCCCACATATAATTTCTTCCGATTTTATGTAAATGGTACACCAAAGTCCCTATATATCTTTCGATTTGCACGAAATTTGGCATAGCGTAATGAATTAAGTCTAGAATGATGTGTGTTAAGTTTCTTGAAAGTCGGTTCAGATTTAGATATAGCTCCCATATATATTTTCGTCCGATTTAAGGTAAATAGTCCACTAAAGTCATTGGAAAGCTTTTAATTTGCACGAAATTCGGCATAGAGCACTGAGTTAGGTCTAGAAAGAAGTATGTCAAGTTTCCTGAAAATCGGTCCAGATCTAGATATAGCTCCCGTATATATTTTCATCCGATATTTGCCCATATTTGCCAATATTTAGAAAAAAAATACTTTCGAGATGAGGACATTTTTCCATAAAAAATCGTCGATAGAAAAAAATCGCCAGAAACCGGATTACATTTTTTCCACAGAAAATAATCTTCAGGAACCTGAGAAATTTTTTTCAACTGAAAGAAGTCGTCAGAATCCAGAGGACATTTCTTTTCAAAAAAAAAAAAAAAAAAAAAAAATCATCAGAAAACTGAGAACTTTTGTTTCCATAGAAAAAATCGTCAGGAACCAGAGGACATTTTTTCCACAGAAGAATGTTTGGCTGGTTCCTGAGGATATTTTTTATATATTTCTTATTAAACACGCTGAGGACATTTTTAAATAAAAAAATCGTTCGGAAACTGAGAATATTTTATCTATAGAAGAAAATTCCTCAAGATCCTGAGGATATTTCAGGAAACTTAGAAAATGTTTTCCACTGAAAGAAATCGTCAGAATCCTGAGGACAATTATTTCCATAGAAAAAAACTTCAGAAAACTGACGACTTTTCTTTCCATAGAAAAAAATCGTCAGAAGACTGAGAACTTTTCTTTCCATAAAAAAAAATCATCAGAAACCAGAGGACATTTTTCCACAGAAGAAAGCTCGGCTGGTTCCTTGAGGACATCGTCCGGAAACTGAGAAGATTTTTTCCATAAAAAAATCTTCAATAATCCTGAGGAGATTTCTTTCCTTAAAAAATCGTCAGGAACATGAGGATATGACTATTTGCAATGTTTGGTTCAAATTAGATTTTTAGCTAGATTTTGGGTTAACAAATTTTCAAAATTTTGACCAAATTGGTGGAATTGGATATTCCGTTCGCTCCATATGAGATTTAGAAGTTTTCCAAAATTTTACCCTCTGTGGGAGGGACTGATAAGTCCCACCTTCCAGCAATATATAGGCATAATTAAAATGTTAGCTTGTTCGAAGTTTGGTTCGAATCGGATACTATGTTCGTTTGATACTATACAATGCTTTTTCAGGTTAATTTTGACCATTTTGTGGGGGAGATCCCATAATGAGTGGACCAATTTTCCCCATCTCCGAACATAATTTCATTCGGAAAGTAATGTAACGATGTGCACCGTTTAGATCAAATCGGATATTTCATTTGAATAATATTGGATTTATAAATATTGGAATTTTCGACCCTTTGTGGGGTAGGTACCAGAAGGAGTGGATTCGATCTGGGCTAGATAAAAATATTGCGATATGCAAATTTGAGTGAAGTTTTTAAAAATGTTGACCCCTTGTGGGGAATGAACTAGAAAGAGGGGACTGATAAGTCCCATCTCCCTGCAATATATAGACAATATTAAAATGTTAGCTTGTTCGAAGTTTTGTTCGAATCGGATACCCTGTTCGTTTGATACTATATAATGCTTTTTTTCAGGTCAATTTTGACCACTTTGTGGAGGAAGTCCCATAAGGAGTGGACCAATTTTCCCCATCTTCGAATATAATGTTACCATGTGCAATGTTTAGATCAAATCGGACATTCCATTGTAAATCTCCGTTTGTAACTAGGCCTTGGAAAATATTTACTATATCCACGTCTCTAACTATGCCTCGATTTTTTTTAATCCACGCCTAAAACTATGCTTTTAAAAGATTTATAATATTCCTACTCCTCCACATAGACCTATTTTTTTTTTGTTCACGCCCATAACTATGCCTTGAAATATCATTTATAAAAAAATCCAAGCCTAGGCTTTGAAAATATGTTTTTATACCCTTCACCACACCACACCACAGGGTATTATATCTTTGTGCATATGTTTGTAACAGGCAAAAGGAAACGAGATAGACCCATGGTTCCCTTTGGAGAATATGCATAGAATCACTTTCTGAGTCGATTTATGCATGTCCGTCTGTCCGTCCATGTATTTTTCTGAACAAAGTAGTACAGGTCGCATTTATGATCCGATTTTAATGAAATTTGAGATAGGTCATTTATTTGGTCAAGAACCCTATTGAAATTGGGAAAAATCGGTTCAGATTTAGATATAGCTCCCATATATATTTTCGTTCGATTTAATGTAAATGGGGTACCAAAATTCCTTAATATCTTTCGATTTGCACGAATTTTGGCATAGCGTACTGAATTAAGCCTAGATCGATGTGTGCTAAATTTCGTTAAAATCGGTTCAGATTTAGATATGACTCCCATATATATTTTCGTCCGATTTAAGATAAATGGTGCACCAAAGTCCCTTAATATCTTTCGATTTGCACGAAATTTGGCATAGCGTAATGAATTAAGTCTAGAATGATGTGTGTTAAGTTTCTTGAAAATCGGTTCAGATTTAGATATAGCTCCCATATATATTTTCGTCCGATTTAAAGTAAATGGTCCACCAAAGTCCCTATATATCTTTCGATTTGCACGAAATTTGTCACAGCGTAATTAATTTGGTATTGAAAGATGTGTGCTAAGTTTCGTGAAAATCGGTTCCGATTTAGATATAGCTCCCATATATATTTTCGTCCGATTTAAGGTAAATAGTCCACTATTGGAAAGCTTTTAATTTGCACGAAACTGAGTTAGGTCTAGCACTGAGTTAGGTCTAGAAAGAAGTATGTCAAGTTTCCTGAAAATCGGTCCAGATCTAGATATAGCTCCCGTATATATTTTCATCCGATATTTGCCCATATTTGCCAATATTAAAAAAAAATACTTTCGAGATGAGGACATTTTTCCACAAAAAATCGTCGATAGAAAAAAATCGCCAGGAACCGGAGGACATTTTTTTCCACAGAAAATAATCTTCAGGAAACTGAGAACATTTTTTCCACTGAAAGAAGTCGTCAGGATCAAGTCGTCAGGATCTTATTAAACACCCTGACGAAATTTTAAATAAAAAAAATCGTTCGGAAACTGAGAACATTTTTATATATGAGAAAATTCGTCAAGATCCTGAGGATATTTCAGGAAACTTAGAAAATGTTTTCCACTGAAAGAAATTGTCAGAATCTTGAGGACAATTATTTCCATAGAAAAAAAATCTTCAGAAAACTGACGACTTTTCTTTCCATAGAAAAAAAATCGTCAGAAAGCAGAGGACATTTTTTTCCACAGAAAAAAGCTCGGCTGGTTCCTTGAGGACATTTTTTCCATGAAAAAAAAATCGTCCGGAAACTGAGAAGGTTTTTGCCATAAAAAAGTCTTCAATAATCCTGAGGAGATTTATTTCCATAAAAAAATTGTCAGGACCAATGTTTGGTTCAAATTAGATTTTTAGCTAGATTTTGGGTTAACAAATTTTCAAAATTTTTACCAAATTGGTGGAATTGGATATTCCGTTCGCTCCATGTGAGATTTCGAAGTTTTCCAAAATTTTACCCTCTGTGGGAGGGACTGATAAGTCCCACCTTCCAGCAATATATAGGCATAATTGAAATGTTAGCTTGTTCGAAGTTTGGTTCGAATCGGATACTCTGTTCGTTTGATACTATACAATGCTTTTTAAGGTCAATTTTGACCATTTTGTGGGGGAGATGCCGTAATGAGTGGACCAATGTTCACCATGTTCGAACATAATATGACTTGGAAAGTAATGTTACGATGTGCACGGTTTATATCAAATCGGACATTCCATTCGACTAATATTGAATTTATAAATATTGGAAATTTCGACCCTTTGTGGGGTAGGAACCAGAAGGAGTGGATTCTATCTGGGCTAGATAAAAACATAGCGATGTGCAGAGTTTGAGTGATTTTCGGATATTCCGTTCGCTCCATGTGAGACTTACTAGTTCTCCAAAAAATTTGACCCTTTGTGGGAAATACTAGAAGGAGTAGACTGATAAGTCCCATCTCCCATCAATATATAGGCATGATTAATATTTTAGCTTGTTCTGAGTAGGTACCAGAAGGAGTGGACTTTATCTAGGCTTGGTAAATATAATAGTTTGTACAAAGTTTGGTTCAAATCGTATTATCCACTCGCATATATATTTCGATGAGACATAAGATAACTTCATAATGCCTCTCTCATAGAAGTCCTGTTCTCTATTTGCAAAAAATTCTAGTATTCGATTTTCACAATCCTGTATGGCGGATGCATTAAAACTTCTCATCTTTCTAAATTTTAAAATATTAATTGAGATGTTATGCTGAAAAGAGATTGATTTGATTATATATTATATATTATATTTTTTTATCAAATCCTTGATACACTACTCTCCTCATTATGTCCATCAAAAAAAAAATCCTCATAAATTTCCCAATAAGAATGTCAAATTCTTCCATTCAATATTCCTCCCTCAATCCCAAAAGAAACCATTTATTAATCTCCAACATGTGTACAACTTTATTTTATGTGAATTGATAGATATCATCAATTTCATTCCAAAAAAATAATAAAAATATGTAACTTGAAAAACTTTCTACAAAATGGCGGCCATGACAGAAAATACCAAATAGTCGGTCTACAGATGAAAAATATCCAAAGGCAAAACACAAAACTTATGTACAGGCAGCATAAAAGGATATATGGATGTCAGCAATGCATCTCAGCGAAAGAGAGAAGAGAGCAGAGAGCAATACATAACGACGAGAATACAAGTTTTTCAGTTCAGTTTCTGTTATTTTGTTTTTAGATTGTTCATTTGTTGTCGTTGTTTTATTCTGTTTGTGAGGCGAAACAAAACTTTTCATGTTTTCCCAAACGTCAGCAGCGACAACAACAACGAAAACTCATCATCATCGCCATCTGATAAAAAAACGGCCAAACAGGAATAACCAACAGTACAAACATATGAACATAAATTTCAATTTTTTTATAGCTGTTGCCGCGCTGTCAATTTCATTAGGAAGGGAAGAGGAAGAGAGAAGGGGGAGGGGGACAGAACAGAACAGGACTAGAAAGCACACACAGGCCGCCTCAGACTTTTCAGCATTTATTTGTTATCGTCATTGCCACATCACAGCACAACTCCCCATCCACAAACAACTAAGTTGCTCTCCTTCTCCTTACGCTCTCTCTGCCTCTTTCCCTCTCTCTCCCTCTATTACGGTATCATATTGTTGTTGTTATTATTGCAGTTGTTTGGCAGCCGTTATACTACACATGATTATAATTATTCCTCTTCTTCTTCTTCTTCTATTTCTACAATTCCACACACTTTGCTATGTGAGAAAGAGAGAGTTGCTCTCTCGGGATAATTAAAGTGACATGCGCTCTAAAAGCACTGCGAAATTAAATTTATTCTTTGGGGGTCTCTATGGCGTATGCTTACTGTCATTTCAACTGGGTACATACAAGACAGTTATGTGTTGGCTCTCCCTCTCTCTCCCTGCCTCCCTGCCTTTCTCTCTCCCAGAAAA